GGGGATTAATATTCTTTAATCTTTCCGACGAGAAACTCCCAGTAGTCGCCTCCGAATGATTGCCAAGCTGCTGTGCTGCTGAGCCGCAGGGTGAGTTGCAATGCTGCGAGTCGCCTCGCTGCGCTGCAAGCTGAACTTCTCGGTTGCGGAAGCCTCTTCCGCGCATCCAGATGGCATCCACATGGGGGACTGGCTTCAGGAGGGGACAAAAGCACACAGACACAATCAATCGTCGATTCCCAGGAAAATATGGGAAGATATTTTGAAGTGGGGGGGAAGACAAAAACCCAGAAAATATGGAACATATGGGGAATCCAATTATTTGTGTGTATTTATTTGTGTGTCCCAGGGCCCCTTCTTTTCTCAAGGACGCGAACGCTGTTTTTTCCATGCCGCGCAACAACTTTTTGTTGTCCATGCCCGTGGCACGACGTCATATTGACGAATTGTGCCATGCGTTTCCTTTGGCTCACGGAAGATGATCGCGGCAATTGAAATTCTCTTGTAGGAAAGAGTCCGTCCTTTGGACCAGCTTGTCTTCCGGAGCGCTTTTCGATTGAGAGCTCAGTGACCTCGGACGCCGAAAACAGCAGAGAGATTCTTGCGAGTTGTTTCGATTGGCCAAGTATTTGAGCCTTGCCCCCTCACGATCGACCCCTAGACCTTTCCTGGGTTAGTGTGCATTTTGACTGTGCATCCAGCCTTTGAGATGGGAAGCCTCAGTGATGCCCAAGCAGGGAGGGGACCATCCCAAACCCTCGATGCTCGAATCTCTATGGGGACCACAGGGAAGACTCCAACTTCCCCTCCTCAAGTAGTCGCTCCAGGCAACTATCTTCGCGACGGGCAGCGCCTCGTTCAAAGAGCAGCGCCCCAGCGTTCTGCTGTTCGAGCGACAAGCGGAGAAGGATGAGCGGGAGGAGGAGGACGAGGAATCGGAGGCCCAGGACGAGGACGCCAAGAACGACGAGGACGAGGCTACGATGGGGAGGAGGAGGGCGAGCACGAGGAGGCACGGGAGGAGGAGGAGGAGGAGGAGGAGGAGGAGGAGGAGGACGAGGACGAGGACGAGGACGCCAAGAACGACGACGACGAGGACGAGAATGAACGAGAGGAGGAGGACGAGGAGGACGAGGACGCCGAGAACGACGAGGACGAGGCCGAGGGTACGCCGAGGCCGCCGCCGACGGGCCGCCCGCCCGTGCGGGCGCCCCGCCGGAGCCCGCGAGGGGCACCGCGGCGGAGGCCGGTGCGCGTGGCGCAGGCGACGGGCGCCCGCCGCCGCCGCCGCCGCCGTTTCGTTTCCGCGGCCGCCGCCGCCGCTGCCTCCGGTACCACCGCCGCTGCTCAGAGCAGGACAGGGTACCCCAGATTTCGTAATAAAAGGGAGGGGGTCTCAACCCTCCCAGACGGGAAGCTTTGGACCCTCCCAGACCATCCATGAAAGGGCGGCCCTTTGCCCAGGCCCCCCCGAACCCTCCAAGACAGCTCAAATCAGACCCCCCCACCAAATGTGACCCCCCCGACTTTCTTAAGAATTCGGGAGTACCCATAATTACGGTAGAGGGAAACAATTACTGAACACTCCCCCTCCCCCCCAATCTCAACGTTGGCACGCGCGGGGGGAGACTGCGGTCGAAGTGCATCTCATCAGACCCACCGCCAACTTTGAACATTGGGGGGAGGGGGAGCCGTTGACAGATGAATGTGGCATCATGAGTGTTCGCTAATTTGTTCCGAGGCCTGTACCTCCACCCACCGCCTCCTAGGAGGCCTTAGCCGCCACCGCTCGAACTTCGCCTCGAGATTCTGGTCAGAGCGCCACCCGGGAGAGGTCCAGGGAGCAGCAGTATATCGGTACCTTGTAGGCTCCCCGGTTGCCGCCACCGCTGCGGCCGCCGCCAGTGCCAACAACGCTGCCGCCAACGCCGTCGCCGCTGCCACCGCCGACGCCGCCGCCGTTGCTGCTGCCTCCGCCTCCGCCGTCGTTGCAGCCGCCGACGGCCGCTGCTGCCGCGGAGGCCGCCGCCGTCGCCGCCGCCTCCTCTGCCGCCGCCGCTGCGTCCCCGACGGCAGTCGCCGCCTCCGCCCGCAGGGCACCCCTCTGCGTCGTTCGGTGGTGGTGGCCGTCGTCGTCGTCGTCGTCGTCGTCGTCGTCGTCGTCGTCGTCGTCGTCGTCGTCGTCTCGGCATGGCTCGGACGTGTGCGTTTTTTCTCGGCGAGAACCATGGAGGACCATCCTGGACCATCGAGCAAACAAAAACACACGAAACTGAAAGATGCACGGGAAATGGGCGTCCGAGCGACGGCAAGTCGTTCGGTCGTCGTCGTCGTCGAGGGTCGGGCCTCGTCCGGCATTGAGGAGTTCCGGGCTAAGTGCGCGTGCCGGGCCTCGCCTATCTCCGGCCCTCACGGGAGCGCCCTCGCCGCCACGGCCGGACCTCCTCCTCCTCCCTCTCCTCCTCCCTCCTCCTCCTCCTCCTCCCCCGCCTCCTCCTCC